ACCGGGCGATAGTTAGCCAATACATCTGGGTCCAGGGAAGGCTTCTTAAGGAGGGGCCTTACCACCGCCTCCTTTAAGGCTACGGGGAAGACACCCTCCCGTAAAGAAGCGTTTATAATTCCCTGGAGCCAGGCTCGTGTACCCTCCCAGGCCGCCAATACCAGCCAGGAGGGGCACGGATCCAGTAAACATGTGGTTTACTGGATCCATTCTTCAAGGATGGAAAGACCAATGAAGGAGAATATTTGTAGTTCAGAGTTGAAATGAGGGGCCCTTGGTGCTCTCTGAGCTTGCTTGTTGTCTTGCAAACGTTTCATTACCCTAACTAGGTAACATCATCAGTGCTAGTAAGAAGTGCTGTTTGCTGTCAGTTTATATTCTGGTGTCTTGCCTGTCTGTGTGGATGGTGACGGTCTTAGGGATTTTTTGGTTGGGCTGTTTACTTTCTTGATTGGGGTATTGCTTCATTGTTGGTCTGAAGTTGACCTTGGAGTTCATTTATGCTGATCTGAGTGCTGATTACTGGTGGAGAGGTGCTGGAGTCCTTTTCTCTTTTGGGCTGGTTGATTGTCTCTTTTGCATAGTTCTATAGATGTTGTCAGTGTCTATGTGTCTATTGATAACTGGTTTGTCAGAGTGCCTGACCGATCCCAGATTTACCATTTTATAGTATTGAGATACTGTATATATATATATTTCTGTTTATGAATTGGCTATTTACTGAAGCTGGGGAAAAACTGATCAGTATTTATTCCATGCATTTAAAGTTAGGTCTAAAAATGTAATGGAGGCTTTTGGTCTTTTAAAACTCTTTTGATTTGTGTTTTTTGTTCTTTATGTTTCTTTTGTTGATTTTTCTTTTTATTCCCTTTACTTTCTTTTTTTATATATACTAAAGCAAAAAGAGCATCCAGAAAAACCAGATATTAGCTTGTCCATGTTCTGTCTCATTTAGAATGATTTGTTAAATTGTGTCAGTGATTGTGTAATAACATCCTTTTTAAAAATTTTCAAGATGTGTTTGAGGATTATGCATCCCCTACAACAGCAGCACAGATTCTTCTGTACACTGCAGCGAAAAAACGAAAAGAGGTACGTCTCATAAATTTGTCAAAAATATAATGGCTTTTTAAATGGTCAAATAGCTGGGAAAATACATGGAGCATTTTGTACACTCACAGAAAACAGTGGTGTTTCTTCTCCACTCCAATATTGAGATATTAATAGATTTTCCCTGACCTCTGCTAAGGTTTCTTGACTGTCTTGTTTAAATGTAAAAGAAACATTTCTAAGACAATTGATGGTTTATTTGACCCCAAGTCAATTCTAGAAGTAATAATTTTTTTTTCTGGAAAAAGTACCTGGCTTTCAGAATTGCAGGCTGTAAATTAAAATATATGTTGTACAATGTGTTTTACTGAAATAATCATCCACAGTAGTTTAAACTGATCTTAATGTTGGTGACTTTCCTAATGAACTTGCTTGAAGTTTCATTTCTTTACTTCTTTGTGCATGTGCTGTTTGTTTAGGTGCTACCAAAAATGATGGCATTTTGTTATCAGATTCTCACTGAGCCCAACATTGACCCTAGAAAGAAAGACGGGGCATTACATGTAATTGGATCACTAGCAGATATTTTGCTGAAGGTAAAACAATGATGTTACGTGAAATGCATTTGGTCTTATCTCTATAGAATTTGACACCTGGGATTCGCGATACTTCTAAAAACCTTATAAAAGAGCCCAACTGCACAAGGGTGTCCTTGATTAAAAAGTTTTCAGAAGTGATTCTATAGCTGTCAGGCTGGGCAGGAACTGAGCCTGTTCATTAACATCCAGGACTTAACAACAACAACAACAAAAGGCTTTAGTGATGCTTTGTAGCCTCTGTAAAAATTGCAGGTTGAGTTTGTCCACTGGTTGAACAATGCATTCTGCTCCCTGCTACAAGATGTTTTTCTTATTGTTTGAGTTCATTTCTGTATTCCCTAACCTTCTGCCAGAGGAATCAGTGCTGGTAGTGAACGTCCATGTCTGTAACTTCATTTTAAAGCGGTTCCTACATGCTTAGTTCATAATCTGCGTGGCATGTGCTGAAACTGTGCGACTTTGGAAATCTCCTCAAGCTAATTCTCATGTTAGGAATTCAGCTTTGGGTTATGCTGTGATTGTATACCCTTGTAGAATTGTTGATAATTGGTTGCGGCAAAGTCACAACCCTTTACAAGTACTCGTTCCCTGTAGGGTTCTATCCGTCTATTCCAGGGGTAGGCAACCTTGGCTCTTTTATGATTCATGGATTTCAACTCCCAGAATTCCTGAGCCAGCCATGCTGGCTCAGGAATTCTGGGAGTTGAAGTCCACGAGTCATAAAAAAGCCAAGGTTGCCTACCTCTGGTCTATTCAATCAATTAGATCAGTGGTGGCGAACACTCGGAGCCCTCTCTGTGGGCACACATGCTGTTGCCCCAGCCTCGCCTCCCTCCACGACCCCCTCTCCAGCAGCCCCCCTGAAGGAGAGTCGCCCCTGAGCATTGGCCACGCGGAGCAGCGCAGCCAAGGACATGGCAGCCAGGCAGTGTAGACAAGACTCTGCCCTCACACCTCATTGTGCACAGTTGATGCTGCAGGGCGCGGGCAGAGGGTGTGACTGCCATAGCGCTGCTGGGCTGCCTGGGTGATTTGTGGTGGGCCCTGGAGGCGGTGAGTGGCCCTGTGGGCAGGCGGGATGAGGGATGGGGGTGGAGCGGGGGCAGGGCAGGGGGTGGAGCGGGGCGGGGCCAGGTTTTGGGCACTCGGTCTCTAAAAGGTTTGCCATCACTGAATTAGATTATTCCTGTTCAGGCTCACTTGGTTAGGATGTTTTCTAAAAATTAATTTGAAGCTGGCATCACCGTTTAAGAATTTACATGAGAATTACTATATGTAAAAATGGAGACAAAGGCATTTCTTCTTCTGTTAATTATTACCCCTGTTAGAAAAGCGTGTTCAAGGATCAGATGGAGTTGATGCTGCAGAATCATGTCTTTCCGTTATTCATGTCAAATCTTGGATATTTAAGAGCAAGAGTAAGTGACTAGAACATATGTCTTCTTCCATGATGATTTGGGTTTACCAGCCTGTGCCTGGGGATAATTAGGTGTTTGATTGTAAAAAGGGCTAATACAGTAATGTGTTTAGCAGAATACACATTCATCTTACTCATTCTCATGCTGTAAAGCTTGATTGGAAGGGAACAAAAATCACTACTCCCTTTAACATAATTATTGAGAAGCAGAACCCTGCATAAGCTTTTGTAAGATTGGGCTAAAGAATATTCTGTATATTTATACATTTTAATAGGCTGATTCCCAGAATGCCACATGAGATGATGGTATCTTGGTTGCTGTTTCCTACATCATCTCATTTTATGTTGTTGTAATTATTTTATTTCCTGTTACCCAGAAAAAACATAACCGGTACTTCCACTCCTTCATTACTATTACCTTCTCCCATGTTTCCTCTAAATTACATATAGAAAGTGAAGGATAATATTCTACATAGAAATGCCTTGAGCACAAAGAAAGATTTCTTTGAATCTTGGTCTTTGGTTTCAATGCTGCTTTACTGTATTATGAATTCTTTTGGGCTGCTTGAACAATTGTGTTGTAGAGAGGACTGCCTTGAAAATGATAAAATGTAATAAATTCAGAACTGTTAACACACAAATGATTTCTCTAAAATAATACCTGATCTTGAATAGCGTCTGATTTGCTTTTTTCTTGTGCTGTAGTCCTGTTGGACCCTCCGTTCATTCAGCACCTTAAAATTTCACAATGAGCTCAATCTAAAGAATGCAGCTGAACTAACAAAAAAGAGCTTGATTGAAGACAAAGAAATGCCTGTCAAAGTGGAAGCTGCCATTGCACTTCAGTCCTTGATAAGCCATCAGGAGCAAGGTTTGATTTTTCACTTTCCTTGATTGCCCACTGTAGTTCCTCTTCATGGACTACTTTCATGTCCCATCTTTTTTGTTTCCTTTCCCTGCAATTATTGTATGCAATGAATCTCACTTTTAATGTTCCGTTGCTTATCTCTATTCATTTGCCCTTCCTTCCTTCCTTCCTTCCTTCCTTCCTTCCTTCCTTCCTTCCTTCCTCCCTCCCTCCCTCCCTCCCTCCCTCCCTCCCTCCCTCCCTTCTTATCAAACACCTTTCTTAGTTAATGGATCATCCTGTTTCTTCCTTTCTTTTTCATATATTTAAAAGTTCATATTAAATTATTTTAGCTTCTATTTTTACTCTTCCTTTTGTCTCAGTTTTTGTCTAACTGATTATACATTTAGATGTGGTTGAAGATAGGGATTGCTACATACAAAGATACTAGTTTCAAGATGTTTTAAAAATAATAAATGCATTTATATCAGAGTACGTCCTAGTGACTTCATAAATTTATGAATTTAGGGTTTTTGGTCAATAGCATGGAAGTTATTTGCATCTCTTATACTATAGGATGATTTTTTAGATTCCAAATCTAGCATTCCCTGTTAATGCAATTTTTTGTGAAGAAGAAGCAGATAAACAGGTAGAAATATAGAAAAATGTTACCAAAGACAAAAGAGGGATACCAAGTGCAACTAAGAGGTCACTCAGACAAGCAGATATTTGTCTCATAATCCATTTTACAGATAGTCTTCAACTTACAAGAGTTCATTTAGTGACTTACAGCCGTTTTTCACACTTATGACCATTGCAGCATCCCCATATTCATGTGATCAAAATTCAGACACTTGGCAATTGACTCGTATTTGTGATGGTCACAGCATCCTGGGATCGTGTGATCCCCTTGTGTGACCTTCTGACAATCAAAGTCAATGGGGAAGCCAAATTCACTTAACAACCATATTACTAACTTAACATCTGCAGTGATTCACTTAAATGTGGCAAGAAAGGTTGTAAAATGGGGCAAAACTCACTTAACAAATGTCTCAGTTAACAACAGAAATTTGGGCTCAATTGTAGTCACGAGCCCAGGACTAACTGTGTCTGTTTTAATTTTTTTCCTGTGTTATGTTTGGATGTATGTTTGATTTTTTTTAGCAAAGGAATACATTAAGCCCTACATCAGGTCTGTTATGCAGGAGCTGCTGCTTGTAGTTCGAGAGACCGAGAATGATGATCTGACCAATGTAATTCAGAAACTGATTTGTGAATACAGCCAAGAAGTAGCAATATTTGCTGTGGAAATGACGCAGCATCTGGTAAGTGAGGGCATGGATTCCTTTTTGGATGAAGGTTACTGATAAAACTTATTTTGGTTCCCTTGTACAAACATACTTTTTACAAAGGGAGGTGTACCAGTCATCCTGAAATGATCAAATTATCACTTTAGATCAGGGGTCCCCAACCTATGGGCTGCGGCCCACTACTGGGGCCTACTCACCCCCACTCTCACTAGCACTCGCGGATCCATTTGTGCATGTGCACAGAGCTAGTGCTGGCGGCTAGCACCTGCACAAATGGGGCTGCTAGCAGGTGTGGGAGTTGCGCAGCCTGTTTATGCATGCATGTGGTTGCTAGCAGCGGTGGCTACCGCCTGCACGCCTATGCAAATGGGGCCACTAGCCCCATGCAGGTGCGCGCAGCCCCGTTCGCACATGGCTCTGTTCGCGCATGCACACACAAATTGCCCAGCTGCTCCCTTTCCATCCCGGCTGCCAGCATGAAAAGGTTGGTGACCTCTGCTTTAGATTACTGAAGATTAGTCTAGACTTAATTTTCCTGTTGGGAGGAAAAGATTGTCATTCATTTGCAGTAGGAAAAAAACAAACATGTTAAACCTGCCCCCGTCCCTGAAGTCTTCAGAATGAGAGTGAAGTGAGGCTTCTTCAAGTAAGTTCCAGACAATATTTCATTTGTACTTAAGACTTGACAGTGTCATCCTTCCCAGGTAGTCCAAGCAACCAGATGAGCTAATTCTACTTTATTGTAAGGCTACATTAACAGAATCTTGCAAGTCTGAAAGCAGAAATCTCCTGCTGTCTCCTTCACACCCTGATAAGTTAGGGAGAATCCTTTCTGAGTTTCCTTTTCTGCCCCTTACGCAGTTGCAGATTCTCCCTCCTTCTGTGATCATTCCCTAGGCCAGGGGTAGGCAACCTTGGCTCTTTTATGACTCGTGGACTTCAACTCCCAGAATTCCTGAGCCAGCATGGCTAGCTCAGGAATTCTGGGAGTTGAAGTCCACGAGTCTTAAAAGAGCCAAGGTTGCCTAGCCCTGCCCTAGGCAGTATCTCTTTCCTCCCTCCCTTTCCCAAGGTTATTCCCACATACCATTACAGATGGAAAGTTAGCAGTTAAATTCTACACAGGCAGATAAACATTTTGCCGTTTGAACATAGTAGAAGAATGTTGTGCTTTGGTTTAAGAGGGGCTAGCTAATCAGGTCAGGAATATTTTCAGAATCCTGCAAGTGTGTTGTAATCAGCACTGCCTTTGTTTTGGAGTATCGTTTTCAAATGTTAATATTTTCTGTATTAATTATGAAAATGGTTAAAAAATTCATCTGAAATTTCTCTTAATACCTCATCTGGATCCTCCTCTTTTTCCTCACTTGATTCTTTAGCCACATGCTAGTTTTTCAGACAGTTTAATCCCATACATCCTAAATCTCGCTCTTACGCAAATTCCTTAGTAAATATTCCCTAACCTGAATTTTTATCCAGAATAGCAATAGTATCAAAATATACATAGGTTCCCTTCTTTTCCCCTTCTGTTTTAAGTGTTGCACAGTAAGCTTAATGCAGCAGAAAGCAATGCAAAATGACATAAACATGGCTTATGTGCTAGTGAACTGCAAAAGTAACAAACAAGTCTGTGTTGTTTCATGGTGTGTGTGTGGGGGGAAGAACCTCTAATTATTTAAAAAAAAAACCTCAAAAATGCAAATTTGAAGCTGATGCAAAGATTTTGTGATTTATGTTGTCAGTTTATCTGATGTTCTGCATTTCATTTCTTTAGGCAGAGATTTTTGGTAAAGTTCTTCAAAGTGAAGAATATGAAGAAATGGAGGATAAAACTGTTATGGCCATGGGGATCCTGCATACAATTGACACAATCCTGACTGTCATGCAGGATCACAAGGAGGTGAATCTTCTCAACCATTTGAAAACTGGATTCAAGACTTTTTGCAATAAGATAGGATACAGAAATTCTTTTAGTAAATGACGTAAACAGTGCGAACCAGGAGATGGCACTGTAGACTTACCAGCTGTATGACACTGTGGCATGCAATTTTCACCCAGTAATAATATAAAATATTTTAAATATGGAGGGCTTTTTGCTTGACTCTTTACTTTAGAAAAAATTCTTTGCTTTAGAGAAGTTGCTTATTTAAGAAAACAAATGTCTTTTTTCTTTACTTTACTTAAGTGGCTTCTTTCTTTTCTTCAGATAACTCAACAGCTGGAGAACATTTGCCTGCAAATCATCGGTCTTGTCTTGCAGAAACATGTAATAGGTACATTGAAAAGCCATCCGGGCAATATTTGCTTTCTTATTTAATTTAAGTTATTCTCTACCCTGCTGTAATAGGTGATACAGCTCCCTGCACATTTTTCCCCATCTAGATTAGACTTAAACCAAAGTTACTATGAAGTCATACTATATTGTTCATTCATTATTTGAGTGCGCCATGTTCTATAGCCAATTCATTTCTGGCTGGAGAGAGGGGAGGGAATGATGGAATCAAAGTTGAGAATGTGGATCTTGGCCATTGGGACTTCAGTTCAAATTACATTGGACTCACAATCTTCTTAAGAACAGAACAGAATAACAGAGTTGGAAGGGACCTTAGAGGTCTTCTAGTCCAACCCCTGCTCAAGACCCTATACCATTTCAGACAAATGACTGTCCAGATTCTTCTTAAAGACCTCCAGTGATGAAGCACCCACAGCTTCTGAAGGCAAGCCATTCCACTGGTTAATTGTTCTCACTGTTAGGAAATTTCTCCTTAGTTCCAGATTGCTTCTCTCCTAGATTAGTTTCCATCCATCATTTCTTGTCTTGCCTTCTGTTGCTTTGGAAAATAGGTTGACCCCATCTTCTTTGTGGCAGCCCTGCAAATGTTGTAACACTGCAGATTTAGAGGAAGGTGATATCACCCTTTGTCAAATAGCCTGTTCCTAAAGCTGACTGCTTATATTTCAGATTCTTCTCTAGAATCTGGATGGCTTTGGGTATTTCTAGAATAGTGGGGAAATATTGCTTATATCACTGAGGGTAGAATCCCATTCTAAGTGTCTATGAGTAGCAGAGGTGTCCATTTATGGTCACTTCTCCCACCATGTTTGCAGGTTCTCCTAATTTGCTCCAGTGGTGACTTGGTCCCCCAGAGTGGATTTTAGGATTTAAGTGCTACAGTGAGAAAGAAAACTAGTTTAAGTTTAAATAATATTACCTCAGAACTAGCTGTCTCTCAAAAGTTTTTCTAATTGCATTCTAAATCATTCCTGCCTTCTTTCTAAAAATCTTGAGATATGCTTTAATTAGAAGTAAACATGCATATAATATCAGGCACATCAGTAAACTGAAATTAAACCTGAAGGCATGATTTATTCCATGTTAAAGGAAATTTAGAGGCGTATCATGTAGTCATGGGGAATTTTGTTTTAGTTCCACTAAAGTATCCTTGATGGTATCTAGCAAATGTAATGTTTTGATTCTAGGCATAAAACTGTACAATGCCAATAAATGCAGTGCTAGTCTCCACACTAAACCTGGGAACGTTGTTGTCAGAATATGTTACAAATCTTTTCTAATTCACTTAAAATAGCTTTTAATAGGCTGGGTGGCATTTGCCAGCATTCTTTCTATATCTCTTATGTCTGTTTGCTTGATTCCCCCTTTCCTTTTCAGAGTTCTATGAAGAAATTCTCTCTCTGGCATACAGCTTGACGTGCCATCTTATTTCACCCCAAATGTGGCACCTCCTGGGTGTCTTATATGAAGTGTTTCAACAGGATTGCTTTGAGTACTTTGCAGGTAATGAGCTTTGCAGTTGGCTCAAAAAGAGCACGGATCAATAGCGGGAATAAATGGAGTGTAGAATAACGTTGGCTGGTAGTGGTTTGGGAAGTTGTGATGGAGTGTTTCAATTGTCAGTTTGTCTTCGTGGAAGCACATCGATTTGTTCTCCCAGTGCTATAAATTCAGGGTTAGTTTTTGTTAAGTATCCAATGTAGGGTTGTATGCCTTTAAAATGCCGAAGTTGACCAAATTGGTATATTGGGATCAGATTTTGCTGGTTGTGGGGAAAATCAGGAACGTATTCAGGTTTTGCCCGCTGAGCTATTCAAAATGTATTCAGTGACTTTTAAGAGTTATTCTGTTTTACTTTATGTCATTTACAAGATGAGAAACCTTAGATAACAAACAGCAAGGGAAAAAGCCAAGATTCTTAGGATGCTAAATTTGGTATAGGTTGTCCTCATTTAATGACTGGTCGCATATCGACCAGTGGCTTAGTGATGGTTTGAAGTTGCAATAGACCCCAGAAAGGTACCTACGACCGAGTTCTGGAGTTTCAACAGCCGCAAAATTTGTGCACAACCCCCCCTCCCCCCGGGTCATACAATTGCATTTTGGGCACCTGGCAACTGTCTCGCATTTACAGCTGCGTGCAGCATCCTACATCACATGACTGTATTTTTTGCTGGCTTCTGGCATTTACTTCTGGCTTCCTACAAAAAAATTCATTGGCTAAAATAAATTGGTTTAATGCTCATTAACCACCACCACAACTTATGACCGTAATTCTAATTTGAGGACAGACCCATTATATATTTTTATATATACCCAGTTCCATTTTATATTTTTCACCAGAAAATTGGGATTCATGAAGACTTGGCTGTTTTCTTATGCCTGTTGAAAGTTTCTGTTTTTGAAATGGAGGAAAAGCGGTGTCAGGCATGTCCTAGGAATGGTGGTTTTATGTGCCTGCTGCCCTAGCATGCAGATAGTGCTCTCCTGGGTGAAGAGATTCATTCAGATCCTCTTGCTAATAAATTTCCCATGGGTCTTCTCCTTGAGGAAGAGGGGGGATTAGACTGAAGAAATGTTTTCCCTGTTATCTATGCCCAATGTTGACCCAATGTTGTTCCTCTCTTAAAAGGAACTTTCTAGCAACAGCTCTACAATGGTATAAAAATGAAAGTTTAGCCAAGAGTAAATAATACGATCTGCTATGTATAAGTTAGCCAAATATTAGCTACCTTCATTTTTCCTTTTGCCTTTATTTGCTTTATATTATTTGATAGGTTGTAAGGAAGAGAGTGGGAAGTTTGTATTGGGATTTTGAGTCTCAGTTGAGGTACAGAGGTTATCTGGAGTCTTTGTGAGCATAATGTGGGATCATGTCTTGTGCGCTTCCTGAAATTCTTAGGAGGGCCTAAATAAATGCAATAGATATTTTTACAATACATTTCACATGTCATGACTTTGTATATGTACTAAATAGAGAAATTTTAAAGAATTATCAATGAGTGAATTTAGTGATTATAAAATAAAGCAAGGACCATTCCATAGGGTAAATTAATTTTATTTCATTCTCAGGACGATGAACTCTTTTCTCTTTCTAGATATGATGCCCCTATTGCACAACTACGTCACTGTTGATACTGATATTTTATTGTCAAATTCCAAAAATTTGGAGATAATTTATGCTATGTGTAAAAAGGTAAGTTTTTGAAGTTGCTCATTCTTTAATCATCCTGCTCTCCATGGTGAATGCGAGAATGTGAACGAAAAGTATAGTTAAATACTCTTTAAGTCCATTAAATAGACATGCTTAGGTTTGCTTTCATAATAATTCGGGTTTTTAATTTCACCTTATTCAAACCTCCGGTCTGTCTAGCACATGCAGCTTAGTGATTAAGGTTTTTGGTTTAGGGTAAGAAAACTTATATTTAAGACTTATTAGTGGTAAAACACAGCTCTAATATAGTTACGTAAAGGCAGAAACAAATAAAAGTCTCTCCAGTTAAATTTCCAATTTTTATAACCAAGAGCTCACCGTGCAAGGACTTGTTTTCTGCTGACAGTATGCATGCACTGTTTATGTAACAATTTAGAAGTGGATATTTTTTAAGCAGGATTTTTCTGAAAATTTTAGGGGAATCTCTTAAAATCCCTAAAAAATCTAGCGCTTTAGTTTCTTTCATTTTGCCATTTACTGCATTCATATTGTACATTCACAAGAATATTTTTGTCACTTTTGGTTTCACAAGCTTATATTTTTTTTTGCTGCTTTTGACTTTTAATATGAGTTCTCTTCTTGCTTCCTGCTGAGGAAAATATGGATAGCTGGGTTATCTTCCTCCTGCAAAAGGCTCTGCCTTGATTTGTTACATCTGAGAGGCTCTGCCCAGTATTTATTCTGTGCAGTGTAGATTGCTCTGTGTGGGGATTGATGATTTTGTCTCACAGATTTTGGATTAAATGGACTTTTGCTCCATTAGGCTTCTATAAATCTGAGAAATCGAACCTGAGAACAGAATGAAAAATGTGGCTTTGCTTGCTTCACTTCATTCGTTGATTCCTGTTGAACCTTTTTTTTTAAACAGTTCTTATAAAGAGATCTGATCTGATTTGGAAAATGCTGGTCCTAGTTGAAAAATATATATATAGGTTACTCATTGTTAACAGTAGAATCAATTTTGATTAGTTATTAGTCATTTTGTTTATTATTTACTGTGGACATTTTTTAATGGCTAACGGATGTCTTTATTAACTATTTTGTAAACTGCTGTATACCTATGTGGATTTGGCAGTATTCAAGATGAATAAGTAAAAGTCGTATAAATAAATAAAATGTTGGAATATAAGCACATCCATTGTGGAAACCTCTTAAAATCACCAATTCTCAGTGTTCTAATCCCGATTAGACATTTAGGCAAAACAAGTGTATAGTGCCTTGGAAATTTGTCACATTCAAATAAACTAGACAACATTTTCTCTTCACTTAATATACTTGAAATCGAAACAGCCTGTGTAGTGCTGCTGCTTGTAAATGTAAATACTTACATTATTAAGGCCAAATGCTTGGACAGGACAATTGTGTGTCTTATTTTAATATACCATAAAAATTCCTTGAAGTTGAACTTTACTTGTGGTGACTTCATGTTTTCTTATAGAAAGAGCTTTTTGTACCACGAGAAACAAACTGTTAGGAATATTTACTCTGGAATGTCACGTTTGTCCATTTTTGTTTTAATTGTATTATAAATAAAAAACTTTTTAAAAAGAAAAAAGAAAAAAAAAGAAAGAGTTTTTGTTGCCTTTTTCCAGGATGTTCTTTTTTAAAATTCCCAATCTAGCCAACTCCCCTGGAATTATTGATTGTATCCCACCCAAGTACTGATCGGAAAATGACCTTACCTAGTTTTCAAAATCAGTCACATAATTGGCACTTCTGTATTACAGTACTATTTTTTTCCCTATCTATTAATTTCATGTGTCAGGCAACTCATTCAAATGTCTCATTGATTATTCAGAAAAGGTGTGTCAAATATCACATGAATTCAGCGAAACAACGTTTTAAAGATTATGTCGGAGCATTCTTTTTATCACCAAGGAAAAAAATGTCTATTTTCTCAACAAATCTGAAGGGTTAAAATGGTCTTTGATTATTTTGGCAGGTCCTAAGTGGTGATGCAGGTGAAGATGCTGAGTGCCACGCAGCCAAGCTCTTAGAGATTGTTATACTGCAGTGCAAAGGAAGGGGTATTGATCAGGTAATTATTGATCGGAATTTTTTTCCTTTGCCTGGTTTGTAAGCTTCAGCCAGAATTTTGGAGACCTGTATGCCTAAGAAAAAGGATTTAGGAGGGGTGAAGCTTGCTCTTTGTAGACAGACATTTTTTTCCTTTTGATGCAATTGCAACGAATGGGTTGTCTCATATTTAGGATCCAGCTTGGCTTGATAGAGGTTCCTTATTCTTCCCTTCTCACCTGTTTGAGCCATCAGAAAAATGGGATTGGTTTAAAAATTTTCCGGCATGTCTTTCCTCAGTCAGAGTTCAGTAACAATAGAAAAATTAAACATCACCGCAATACAAAGATCTGAAGAGCGTGGGAAAGATTACTGACAAGTTCCACAAATGCCTGAAAGCTCGTCAGAGGGATTCAGAAGATGTTGAAAGTGCGAAGGAGGACTGTGGTGGGACAAGCAAGGGAAAGAACTAGTCACCTAGTCAGGAGAAGAACTGAGGATGGGAAAAGTTGGAGGCTTCCTCCCCACTCCAGTTGCTCTTCGTTTGATGAGAAAGGTTTATTTTCTGCATTCACCCATCAGGTGATACTCAAGCTTTGAAAATGAAACCCAGCTCCTGCAATGAGAGGTTGATGGGTAAAGTAAAGGTAGTTCATAGGAGAACTTAGGGCTTGCAGACGTTTTGGGATACAGTGGCTACTATCCTGAATCCATATTATTGAACAAGGATTATATTGTCCAGGATTATATACTGGACAAAGAACATGAGGTTGCCAAACAAGGAGTGCCAGGTTTGGCCTATATTACATGAATATTAATTGTGTGTGTGTGTGTGTTTATGTTTATCAAGATGTTTATCAAGGTTGCATAACCAGAAGAGTTTGGTTTGTTTTACCTAGTGCCCCTCTTTTTCCTTTTTAAAAGAATTTCCTAACCATGGGGTGGAGCAAAAAGGAGAGTGATACTTCAGTTCCTGACCTCTGACAATCTTACACAACAGTTCCTCCTGCTTCTGGTATTTCCTGTAGTAAATCCCAACAGCAATTATCACAGTGGTTATAAAAGAAGAGAGAGAGAGAGAGAAAAAAAGAGGAAAAACAGTTGGATATTTTTTTAGCAAACAGAACTCTGCAGACAGTATCCCATCCAGTTATTACAAAACATACATATCCCTCAAGGTCATTTAAGGAACTGTGTACATTTGAAACAGAATTGTAACTGATTTCAAAAAGGGGAGGGCTGAATCCTTTTTTAAGTAGGCTCAATATCTGAAATATTTCAACTTATTTCTCTTTTCCTCTTTTTCTTTGTACTTCTCCGCATATCTCTGGTCTCTCCTTTAGTGCATCCCTCTGTTTGTAGAAGCTGTGCTTGAGCGCTTAACGCGAGGAGTTAAAACCAGCGAGCTCCGCACCATGTGCCTCCAGGTTGCCATTGCTGCCCTCTACTACAATCCCCAGCTCCTTTTGCACACTTTAGAGAATATCCGGTTTCCTCATAACCCAGAGCCTATCACGGCGCAGTTTATAAACCAGTGGATGAACGATACAGACTGTTTTCTTGGGTAGGTGTGTGATGCTTTCTTTTTCAACACCTTCAGGTGTTTTGGAGACCTTAATTTGAGAGGAAATGCCAGGATTGTCTTGCTTTCCTACCTGCCCTCAGGTGTGCTATTGTATTATAAAATACCACATAGTGACCTTTGGAACAAGCATGAAAAAATAGAATTGATATGCTTCTCTTCGGACTAAGATTTTTCTCCTACTTTGTATGAATAGTGATGATCTTACTTTTGGCTGAGTTTCATTAGCTGGGCAACTTGTCATTGGCACTTGTTATTGATTGTATGTGACATTAAATGTATGTTTTGTCTTTAAAAAATAAAAAAGGAAATCATTTTGTATAGGTAGCCCTCAACTTATAATATCAGTTGAGTCCGAAATTTCTGTTGCTAAGTGAGACATTTTTAAAGTGAATTTTGACCCATTTTATGACCTTTCTTCTGATATTGTGGTAGTATCACTAAGAAAGCTGCGACCAGGGCCTCATTGTTCTTATTTATATAGCTAAAGCCTAGAATAGAATTTTCCAAGTGGATTTTAAAGAAAGGAACATCCATTCAGGATTCTCCCAAAAGCCTCTATAACTATCCTCTCAACTGAGTCTCCATCCATGTTTCTGATCTCATTTTTCACAATCCTCACCTAACTTATAGAAAACTGTTCTGTTGGGAAGATTGATTCTCATCAGTGAATTGTGCACCTTCAGGCTTCATGACAGGAAGATGTGCATCATCGGACTGAGCATCCTCATGGGACTGCCGTCTCGACCGTCTGCAGTAGACGCCGTGGCTGCCCAGCTCGTCCCATCGGTTCTCCTCCTATTCCTGGGACTAAAACAAATGTGCGCCACCCGGCAACATGCAGAACATGAAGAGCATGGGAAAGCTGAAAAGAATGACGCAGAAGATAACGGTACGAGCAAATATAAGTTTCCTGGCTGTGGTGATGAGCATTTATTAATAGCGAAATACTTATAATTTATTTCGCTTGTGCTTAGCAGGGGTAGGCAACCTTGGCTCTTTTATGACTCGTGGATGGCTGGCTCAGGAATTCTGGGAGTTGAAGTCCATGAGTCATAAAAGAGCCAAGGTTGCCTACCCCTGGCTTAGAGAGATGATTTGCATTTTCCAAATATTTCTGAATATTCCCAAGCACTTTTATAAACTTTTTTTTCCTAGAAAAAAAACTTTAGATCAGACTAGCCAAGATGTTACTCTCCTAACTGCAACCTTTTTTAAAAGGTAGAATGATATTCTTTCAACATCATTAGACTCCCTCAGTTGTGAGACAAAAATCTTCTCCTTATTTTGAAAGACAAATACGTTATTATCCCCATAACTGCACACCTGATATACTCCTTAAGATTAAGAGTTTTCTCTGGAAAACATTATTTATTTCAGAGCTCTATTAATCAGAAGTGACTTTTCCCACAAACTAGTCTTCCTCAGTTTAAAAAAACGCAATTTGTTTTCATGATCAACCTTTACCAAGATTGTAATTTAAAGAATGTTTGCTCATAGGGAGGAATCATTAATTTTGAAATGGTGCTTTTGGTTAAAAAGATACATCTTTGTCTTCCTTGTCTTCTTTGTTCTTGATTTTAATATATATATATATATATATATATATATATATATATATACCCTGACATCAACTGGGACACAAACTCTGCACCAAGTGGAAGATCAAACCGGTTCCTGGCAAACCTAGCAGACAACTTTGTCTCCCAAAAAGTAGAGAAGGGAACTAGGGGATTAGCCATTTTGGATCTAATTCTCACTAACAGAGATGAAATGATAGAAGGTGTTGAAGCCATAGGAACCCTGGGAGGAAGTGATC